TCGTGTGCAATAAAATGGATTATTTTGAAAAGAAGTATCGGGAACGTGCGGAGAAATCCAGAAACCTATATAACGGTCCACGCTATTCTAGACCCCCAACAACAATCGAGGTACGTGCCGCCGACTGCCACACGAAACTACCAGACCCCTTCCAGGCCCCAAGCCCTTGTTTCCAATAATAACAAGAACGACTTCCCTCCTACTCCCAGGCAGTATCAAAACAACTTGACCCAGCCCTTTACCCCGAGACGTCCTTATAATCCAATCTTTGTGCCGAAACCGAACCTCCAGAGAAACACCTACAATAAAAGTCAAGAAGTGAGCAAAAATAGGACGGAAGATGGAAGACCAATCTGCTTCAAGTGTAACAAGCCAGGGCACGTGGCCCGTTATTGTAGGGTCAAGTTTATAAGAATCCTAGAAGAGGATCCAACAGCTACCCAAGAGAAGATCGAAGAGAAATGCGAAATGAATGAAATATCAGATAAATCAGGACCTCGGCTTTATGCTGATGTATTTCTTAGCACACAGACAAATATTCCTACCCGGAATAGATATTCCGTGTTGGAAGATTTAAACTAAGCGTCGCGCCTGAATATGTCAATCAAAGCAAGTCGACCAAAAATGGTATCAAAAAGTTGGACCCTAAATACAAATTAAAAATTCATGTGGACAAGATAGGAACTTTTGAAGCTTTGGTTGATACAGGCGCTGACCTCTCAGTGATCGACCTCAGAACGGCCCTCGATACAGGCCATGGTATAAGTAAACTCGCAAAAACTTGTGCAGGACCCGATGGAAAAAAAATTAGACATAGTAGGAAGTATATTGTTAAATATAAAAATTGATGACAAAGCATTATCGCACAAATTTGTGATTTTGAAAACGCATTTACGCACATTAATTTTTGGAAGAGATTTCCTTAAGAAAATGAACGTGAAAATAGATTGCAAAAAAAGAAATAATAAAATACGATCTGACGAATAATCATGACATCAGCAATTATGAACTGAAAAAAATAAAAAGTGTTGAAGATACTGTTATACCTGAACTGTCTATTAGATTAATTAAGGCCTCAATAGAAGCAGAGGATGGCGAATATGTCATCGAAGAGAACAACAGAATGATTCAAACAAATGGCCTTCGATTGGCAAGAAGTTTGCTTACTGTCACGGATAGGACAACTCATATCTGGATAACGAACCCTTATCCTCGACCTTTAAAAATCATGAAAGACCAAACATTGGCCTATGGAAGCCTTCCTGCAGAGGTAAAGTTCATAGAGAAGTTAGAGCAAATTAATAATGACGAAATCCAATTTCAAATAAACAAAAATCTATCACCTAAACAACAAGAGGATTTGAAACAAATTTTGGTTAAGTATGCTGATTTGTTTTCGCCGAGGTTAGGCAGGACAATTTGGCAAAACACCTGATCGATACAGAAGATGCAAAACCGATAAAGCACAAGCCATATAGGGTGAGCCCCAAAGAACGGGATATTATAAAAGATCAAATTGATTTTAAATGCTCAAAGAAGGCATAATTAGACCATCTTCAAGTCCCTGGTCTTTCCCTGTAATACTGGTCAAGAAGAGAGATGGTAAGTTCAGATTTTGTGTAGACTATAGAAAATTGAATGAGGTAACAGTAAAGGATGTTTTCCAATCCCAAGAATTGATGACGTAATGGATACTCTCCAAGGATCGAAGTACTTCTCAGCAATAGACCTTAGATCGGGATATTGGCAAGTCGAAATTGAAGAGAAAACAAGGAGAAGACAGCTTTCACTACGACCCACTGTTTATATGAATTCAACGTCATGCCCTTTGGACTATGTAACGTCCCTGCTACTTTCGAGAGGAATATGGACAATGTGCTTGGAAATCTAAGATGGAAGATTTGCCTTTGTTATCTGGACGACGTTATTATATACAGCTCAGACTTTCCAACCCACCTTAAAAAACTTGAAGCTGTCTTAAAATGTTTTAGTGAATCTAATTTGAAACTGAACAACAAGAAATTCAGATTTGCTTTTAAAGAACTTGAGATCCTTGGTCATATAACCAACCAACAGGGTATAAAACCGGCCGAATATAATATCAAAGCCGTTAGGGATTTTCCTCAGCCCAAGAAGGTCAAAGAAGTACAATCATTCCTAGGAATGTGTTCCTATTATAGAAAACTAGCGGATGTGTACCCGGCTTCGCCTGGGTTTTATCCGAGTGAAAGTTTGCCTAACGAATATTATATATTATGAAGTATAATAAACAATGTTAAAGATTAGTTTTAATTATTAATCAAGATTGTGTGTGAATATGTGAGAAAGATGTAATACCGTTGTTGTTTTCTTGGCCGACTGTTTTACCTATGGTGTTATCTTAAAATTGCTAGTTTTGAATATATTTTTAGATTGAGTTGAATGAATTGCTGATTTTTTTTGTATTTATATATAAATAAAATTAACTCTGTTGATTTTTTTTGTATTTAATCGATAACAGCGAAGTTACGCATGTTAAAGTTAGGAAAAATATTTGATGTTAAGCAAAACCTGCTCCATCTCGTTTTACATAAATGTTGAAAATTTGGTCGAAATTGATGCATTGTAACGAAAGTTTTTTGCGAACACCACTTATGAAATTTGCATTTTATTAATATAGATTCATTAAAGATTTCTCATTAATTGCTGACCCATTGACAGGACTCATCAGGAAAAATGCGCAATTTACCTGGACAGAAAATCAAGAGGAAGCATTTCAAAACCTTAAAAAAGCTCTGATAAATCCGCCAATTTTAGGTCACTTTGATTCAAATGCAGCCACCTACATTCACACAGACGCCTCTAACATCGGCTTAGGTGCAACACTGGTCCAAATTATCTGTGGGGAAGAGAAGGTGATATCATATTTGAGTCGAACTCTAAGTAAATCTGAGCAAAATTACTCAACCACCGAAAAGGAATGTTTGGCTGTGGTGTGGGCGATATCAAAATTGCGACCCTACCTATATAGAAGACACTTCAAGATGATTACAGACCATCACGCATTTTGCTGGCTGAAAAATCTTAAAGATCCAACAGGTAGACTTGCAAGGTGGGCACTGAAAATTCAGGAATACGATTTTGACATAATACACAAATCGGGTAAAAAACATATGGATGCTGATGGCTTATCTAGAGGACCCCTACCTGAAACGGATTGGGTCGAAGATTAGGAACGACTATTTTTGATTCAGATAATAAATGAAGAGGATGAATTCATAGAAAATGTTAAGAAAAGCCTTAAAGGAAGCAAACGAGCAATCACACAGAATTTTAAAGAGGAAAATGGATGTCTATATAAGAAGAACCCAAACCCTGAAGGCAGAGCATGGTTGCTGGTAGTGCCGAAGAAGAGAAGGAAAGAAATCATTAGTGAATTCCACAACCATATGCTGAATGGCCATCTAGGCGTCGCCAGTACCACATACCGTTTGAAGAATAAATATCATTGGCCTTCCATGCTCAAAGATGTTTCAGAATTTGTAAAGACATGCCATCTTTGCCAAAGTCGGAAAGGTTCAAATCAGTCGCCCTCTGGACTTTTGCAACCCATTTCTCCAGCTAACTACCCTTTTGAAAGAATCGGGATTGACTTTGTTGGTCCCTTGCCATCAACGAAAAGAAGAAGAAAGTGGATAATTGTGTTGTGATAATTATTATACCATGTACGCTGAAACAAAGGCAGTATCAGAAGCAACAGTGAAAGAAGTCTCTACATTTTTAATCGAACAATTTTTTAAGTCACGGGGCCCCGAGGTTTCTTATTAGTGACAGAGGTTCACAGTTCACTAGCAATTTGATGAAGGAGGTTATGAAAATGTGCAAAGTTAAACACTGTTTCACGACGAGCTACCACCCCCAGACTAACGGACTAACGGAACGGTTAAATAGAACTCTAATCAACAAGATAAGCATATATGTAAATACCGACCAGAAGAACTGGGACGAAATCCTCCCTTTCGTCACCCACGCGTACAATACCACGATTTAAGAAACCACAGGCTACTCTCCATTTTTCCTGTTATTTGGGAGGGAACCCATGTCCCTCTTAGACGACGATAATATCCCAATTGACAGTAACATGATCGATTATGAGGAATATATAGAAAATTACTTAGATAAAATAGCAAGGACGAGACAGGTAGTCATTAACAACACAGAGAAGACTCAGGAAAAAATGAAAAGAAACTATGACAAAAAACACAACGAGAGAATCTATGAACCAGGACATTCAGTGGCAGTTTGGACACCAGTCAGGAAAATCGGAAAATGTGAAAAACTATTGGGAAAATATTTTGGTCCATATCGAATATTAAAGAAGCTGTCCAACGTAAATTACTTAATTAAACCGAAAGATAATCCTGGCCAAGACCCATTGATTGTCCATGTCTCAAGACTCAAACCTTATTTTGAAAGAATTGATGAGGTCACTCACGAGGACGTGACGACCTCTGGAGAGGGGGAAGTGTTGCATCATGATTAATGCGCGTATTTTAAAAAGTATTTATAATATTATTTTTAAGATATTTAAAATTTAAATTATATATTTATTTATTTTTATTTAAAACAGAATATTTAGATTATCATCATTCCTTTTTATAGTTTCATTCCTTTTGTAATATTTTATTGTACATATATCTTTATTGCTTATTGGAAGACTGCGGATCGCGACGGAGGAGCAAGACAAGAATAAATAAACACAATAACTTGAAAAGGTAATTTATTTTTATTTTATTTATTTACTTTTATTCATTTGATTTAAATATGGAAACCCGTTCGTGGGAAACGTGTATAACACCAAGAAGGAAGAAACCAAGGTCGACGACCCTGCGAAGCTGCCACTTGGTGCAACAATTTTCCTATGTATAGTCACGACCGTCTTTCCTCATCGGTCTCTGTCACGGATGCGCGCACAGGGAGGTCACTTGCTCGCCGGCAGCCAATTAAAATAAAAAAAAAACTCCCTCGAGCCGGATTTGAACCAGCGACCTAAGGATCACCGTTGTAATCGGTGTGTACAGTCCTCCGCTCTGCCAACTGAGCTATCGAGGGATACAAACTGTATGAATAAGTTTACCTTATAAAGTCAACTAATCCTATTTCTACACAAAATGTACTCATACATATATTATATTATATTAAAGAGGACTATATATATAGTCACGAGGGTCTTTCCTGATCAGTCATTCATTGGCCGGCCGCCTCTGTCACGGATGCGCGCGCACAGGGAGGTCACGTGCTCGCCGGCAGCGGGGGGGGGGGGGCATTACGTCACTCAAGGTCACCTACGCGCCAACGATGACACGTGATCGTAGCCGTCGAATAGGAGGGCGCCGGCCATCCGTGACAGAGGCGGCCTATGACTGATTGATTAGGATTAGGATATGCATTTATTTAAGGCGCCAATTTATAATTGTAACAAATAGTATTTGAATAAAAACATTCAATCGGGTAAAACACGGGCGTTGCCCGGGTCATTCGGCTAGTTAGTATATATAGTCACGACCGTCTGTCGTGGCCTCTGTCACGGATAATATACAGTTATCATCGTCATGCGTTCTTAATTCTGTCACCGTTTGCTTTTGGTTCAGTGGTAGAATGCTCGCCTGCCACGCGGCGTACCGGGTTCGATTCCCGGCAAGCATTTAATCGGGTAAACCCCGGGCGTTATAGATTATAAACACAAGGTAATAAGACCACATCCATGATATATATATATATTGCGTATGATATTGTTTTTTACAGCACAATACAACAATGTTGGCAAGTTTCTCTAGAGTGGAATGTCGAGGTGACGAATCCACTCCAGGACATCCATGATAAGGTACAGTTTGGATTATAGATTATAAACACGAGGTAATAAGACCACATCCAAGATAAGGTACAGTTTGGATTATAGATTATAAACACAAGGTAATAAGACCACATCCATGATAAGGTACAATTTGGATTATAGATTATAAACACAAGGTAACAAGACCACATCCATGATAAGGTACAGTTTGGATTATTACTATATATAGTCACGACCGTCTTTCCTCCTCCACCGCCTCTGTCACGGATAATATACAGTTATCATCGTCATGCGTTCTTAATTCTGTCACCGTTTGCTTTTGGTTCAGTGGTAGAATGCTCGCCTGTCACGCGGCGCCCCGGGTTCGATTCCCGGCAAGCATTTAATCGGGTAAACCCCGGGCGTTGTAGATTATAAACACAAGGTAATAAGACCACATCCATGATAAGGTACAGTTTGGATTATAGATTATAAACACAAGGTAATAAGACCACATCCATAAAAAGGTACAGTTTGGATTATAGATAATAAACACAAGGTAATAAGACCACATCCATGATAAGGTACAATTTGGATTATAGATTATAAACACTAGGTAACAAGACCACATCCATGATAAGGTACAGTTTGGATTATTACTATATATAGTCACGACCGTCTTTCCTCATCCACCGCCTCTGTCACGGATAATATACAGTTATCATCGTCATGCGTTCTTAATTCTGTCACCGTTTGCTTTTGATTCAGTGGTAGAATGCTCGCCTGCCACGCGGGCGCCCCGGGTTCGATTCCCGGTCGATGCATTTTTTTTTTACAATTTTTAAAACTCATTTATATATTATACAAGAATGACATCCACGGCGCCAATTTATAATTGTAACGAATAGTATTTGAATAAAAGCATTTAATCGGGTAAACCCCGGGCGTTGCCCGGGTCATTCGGCTAGTATATATATATATAGATGAAAATTTGCCGGGAGGAAATTAATCCAAAGAAGCAATGGGCGCTTCTCCCGTCAAAATAAACTTCAAAACCTGACGCCATCTATTGACCGTCGCCGCAACTAGCGGCCTCGGGTCGGTGACAAAGCCACAACACCAGCTTTGGCAAACCGAGAAGCGTCCACCTAGAGATCATTGTTTCGGGCTAATGACCCTCGTCAGTCTAGGGCGGACTTTATTCCACGAGATCCACACGGGATCTAATGAAACCTTCACAATATACCAAAGAGGTGTTTTGCTGGCAATGTTGCTGGGCCAAATCTATGGCTAGAACATAGATGAAAATAATTGCCGGGAGGAAATTATATATACACGGTATGTTCCATAAGTTCCCGGACTGGGTCCATAAAAAAATTAATAAATGAAAAATGTGAATGAATTTGACTGTTTATTATAGAAAAAATATCTGGCTACACGGTGGTACCAATATCGAGGCGGTACTTGCGCGCGCGCCAAGGTTATTCTAATTTATTTAAAGGTCACACCTAGCGCTGCGGCGATTTTACGATGGAACAAAAATTGAAGCAGAGGATTTGCATAGAATTTTGTGTTAAACTTCAAATATCAGCAACCGAAACTTTTGAAATGCAATTTAAAGCATTCCCTAATGACGCCCCAAAGTGAACAATTGTTTTTGAATGGCATTCTAGATTTAAAGCTGGCAGAATTTCCATTGAAGATGATCCTCGTCAAGGACGCCCAAAATTTCAAAGGACTGATGAAAATGTGCAAAAAATCACCGATTTGATAAAAGAAAATCCTCGAACCACTTTGCTGGAGCTATAGCAAGACACAGGCATCTCTAAAACAACGATTGGAAGGATCGTAACCGAAGATTTGAAGCTCAAAAAGACTCCTGCAAAATTCATCCCAAGATTCCTCACAATGAGCAAAAACTGTGTCGGCTTGCAACCTGTGAGGACATGATGGAAATGACAAGAACGGATCCAGAATGGAAAGACAAGATAATCACAGGCGACGAGACATGGGTCTATGGCTATGACCCTGAAACCAAACCTCAATCTGCCGAGTGGAGAGGTTAGGGTGAGCCTAGACCAAAAAAAAATCCAGGAACAAGGTGTTGCTGGTGGCTTTTTCGGATAACAAGGGCATTGTTCATCACGAGTATCTTCCTGCAGGCCAAACAGTTATTAAGGAAATGTATTTGGCATTCTTCGCCGTCTAAGGGAAGCGATTCGAAAAAAAGGCCAGAAAAATGGACTAATGGTGGCTGGATCCTACACCATGACAATGCTCGCCCTCACACAGCGCACTTGATGACTAGCTTTTTGGTGAAAAACGGGACACAAATCCTACTTCAACCACCCTATTTCCCAGACATCGCACCAAATGACTTTTTCCTGTTCACCAAACTTAAAGCAGTTCTAAAAGGAAGACATTTTGACACCAGGGATGACATAATAGAAAATCGCCGTTAGCATTGAAGAGCATTCCAAAAGAGGCTTATAAAAACTGTTTCGACAATTGGGAGAAACGATGGCGCTGGTGCGTTGAAGCAAGGGGGATTACTTTGAAAAGTTTTAATAAAATAATTTTAAAAAAAGATTGCCTTTTTTTATGGACCCAGTCCGGGAACTTATGGGACATACCTTGTATATACTAGCCGAATGACCCGGGCAACGCCCGTGTTTTACCCGATTGAATGTTTTTATTCAAATACTATTTGTTACAATTATAAATTTGGCGCCTTTAATAAATGCTTATATTAGTTAATAACTATAGCCTATGTGCTTTATCTTTCTATGTACTGTTGGCTTCCGTAGGCGTCTCATACTGAGAAAAGGAAAGAGAGGATTCCATTTAGTTATTAACTAATATATGCATTTATTTAAAGAGCGACCCGCTCCAAACCAATAGTTACAAAAACGAAAGAGCGAGTGGGGGAGGCATGATGGGGGGGGGCAAAGGTGGCGTGACCGTAGCCAACCAATAGGAGGGCGCCATTCCAAAAAAAAAAGCAAACGGTGACAGTGGCCGATGAGGAATGACGCTCGTAACTGTATATAGAACTAGCCGAATGACCTGGGCAACGCCCGTGTTTTACCCGATTGAATGTTTTGATTCAAATACTATTTGTTACAATTATAAATTGGCGCCTTGAATAATTACATATGTTAGTTAATAACTATAGCCTATGTGCTTTATCTGTCTATGTACTGTTGGCTTCCGTAGGCGTCTCTTACTGGGAAAAAGAAAGAGAGGATACGATTTGGTTATTATCTAATATATGCATTTATTTAGGGAGCGACCCGCTCCAACACAATAGTTACAAAGACGAAATAGCGAGTAGGGGTGGGGGCAAAGGTGGCGTGACCGTAGCCAACCAATTGGAGGGCGCCATTCCAAAAAAAAGCAAACGGTGACAGAGATGAACACTGACTGATTGATTAGGAGATGAGGAATGACGCTCGTAACTGTATATATAATGTGTTAACCGAGGGTCTCTCGCTGGGTGTGGTAACCGAAAGGGGCAAACCTGTCGTAACCGAGAGGGACAGTCAGGGCGTGGAGAGTTTTCCAGTACCTCTCTGCCCATTTGGAGACCTTTAACAGTTCTCAAAGAGTACAGTTAGTCGTGGTCGAGGCAGAGTGGAAAGCTTTGAATTGTCCACAAAAAAACAAAGACACATTTGCACTAAGAAAGTTCCGTGAACAGATAAAAATTGAGCTAGGAGCGAAAGATGGAGATAGATGAGTTCTTACTAGTCTACATGGTGGATGAGGAGGACCTGGGTGACAACCGACGAGGGCTCCCGCTGATGGTGAAGTGACTATATTTTTGACTAGGACGGAGGTCTTATATATCTTTGCCGAGAGAATAAGTAGTGCATTTCAGCAGATGCAACAAGAGCGTAGATCGGATGGCGAAATTGTACACTGGCGCCGTGGCTGATTCCATCTTTAGACCTTGTTGTGGGACATCTATCTATCTCGATTTTAGACGTTTTTGACTTCTATCTCTTGCTTCAGCTTAACTCTTAATCTATTACAGAGTTTTATTTATATATCCTCAGTTTGTACAAAGTACATTACATATGATGATGTAATGACACAATCATGCGTATAATCATTTATAGATGTGATTCTATTATACAACATGAAAATCTTGTTATAAGTATTATACAAAACGGGGTTGTTGGCTTAAATTACCATAGATGGGCCCCGGGAGTGAAAGGGTTTATCCGGGTTTAAATGGCTAAAGCCTCTCTAACACAGGTAAGTAATTAAAATTTATTTTGAATAATTTAAACTGTGAGAGTTAAAAAGGGCTATAACAAGTTGATTTGTTTAGATATATATGAAAATAATTAAAATAAAGCTTGTTCAATTAAAAAGTTATAATATTGGTTATATAAAAATATATTTTTATATAAAACCGTTGTTTAAATTAAATACATAATGAAATGATTATGTGAAAGAGAATTAAAAATTGTAAAATATTATTGGCGGGCGTTAGAAAGGTTAGGGTTTAAAGAATATGACATTTTAATATTACACATGCAACCAAATAATCAGATCCAAGTTCAAAGCGAAGATATAGACTTGAGCGTCTATCTAGGCAATATTTCACTTGCGATCCTGTATAAGGGTTATAGTGCTTTGTCACAATTTTAGGGTTATAGGTTAAAATGTTTTTGAGGAAAAAGGTGATTTATTAATATGATTGTGAAAGGGGTGAAATAGAGCCATGCGATAAGTAGAATTGTTTTAGCGACAGTATGTGATCTGACTTACACCTGAAACCAAAGGTTGATTGTGGTCCGCTAGAGCTGATAAAAAAGTTGAAAGTTGAAAAAAGTGAACGCTTTGTGCATGCGTTGGTGATTGTGCT